TCTTCTTTTATAGAGACATCAATTGTGTTCAAGAGTATGCTCAGAAAGTTGCTGCCTGTAGAAATTTCCTCTATCTTGCACTTCTGAAATTTTATTTGACCTCTGTTTTTCCTTTATCATTTCTGAAAATGACTTGCCCATCTAACATTTGCTTAGATTTGAGTCTTATGAGTGATACAGACGAGCAGCGTCAGGATAATATATGGCGCCCGTCCTTCTTATCTTCTAATGGTCCTCTTACGGTTGGGGACTCTGTGATGAAGAATAACATAACCGCTACTGTGGTAGCTAGGAATCTTCTCACTCCAAGGGATAACAAGATCCTTTCAGAACGGTCTGAAGAGTCGGCCATTCAAGACTCCTTGGCTCTCAGTGTTCAGTGTGCTGGCTCTGTGTCCAATATGGGCCAACGCCTACTTGCTCAAACTCGCCAAGTTGAATCATTGATGGCGGAGGTGGCAAGTCTTAAACAAGAGATCAGAGGGCTCAAGCACGAGAATAGGGTGTTACACGTGCTTGCAAATAGTTACTCTACGAGCATGAAAAGAAAGCTCGACCAACTGCAAGAATCCGAAAGTCGGATTCAAAGTGATCACCAGAGGTTCGTTGCTAGATTCCGAAAGCAACTGATGCCTTCCCCTTCTGGTGTTTTGCTAAGTACTGGGTGCCACATGATCAATCTCCAGTGCCTCCCCCTTCTGGGGTACTTTCGAGTACTGAGGCTGCACATGAGTAACCTTTGTGAAGGCTCCATCTTGTTTGTTTATTTTAACTCATGTGTATGTATATATCTGTAATTTCTTGGAGATATTAATAAATAAGCTTTATTTCATTCAATGTATTGTGCCAAATACAATAAAGCATATACTTCACTAAGATGTGGTACTTCTGGACCAAGTATTAATTTATCTTTACTCTCACGAAGATAAATGATTATTCTTAGTGTTTTCATCATATGAGTATTCAACTCATAATCTTCAATCCATATGGTTCTTTTAATATCATAAATATCATGGATAAGATTCGTGTTGGTAGATTGTTCGATCTGCAGCTCGAGACAATAATTCCTTCAACACTTTATAATTTTTCTAGACTCTTCAGGAGTCCCAATTTAATATCATCAACTCTTCAAGAGTTCTAATTTAATGTCATTGACTCTTGCAAGAGATTTTAGTATGTTGCAACAATATCATAATGATAGTACTCACTAAGGCAATTTATATCATCCATTGATATTGAGTACATAATTTATGCTTTACCCTTCGGGGCCTTACTTCAAGCAATTTGAATCATTCAAGGATTTTCTACACTTCATGACACATTTTCCTTTGGAATTTATACAGAGCAATTTGCTCCCATGTATATTTGAGGGATTTACTTATGGAGATATGATGTGGGTGACTCACAACCCTTCATATATAATTCTCCATTTATATGAACTCGTTTACAACCTTGTGTCATATCATGTAAGTGTATTACACTGTATTACAAATGCCCATATATAATCTCCTTGGTTCAACATCTTTTGGCTATTTGTATTGTATTCAAATATATATAGGTTCATTTGCCCACGTTCTTACAAAATTGTAATGGAATTGCCTTTCTCCATTTTGGCCAATAATTTTCCTTTTGTCGACGAACAAAAGAACGTGACTCAATATTAACACAGCTCATTGATGAATTTAGTAGGTACTTGTAAAAACCAAAATTACCATTGGTTATCATCAATCCGTGATCCCATATTCTCATGTGTATGCGCATGCATAAAAGCTTTCATTTCTTTGGATATCAATTGCCTCTTCAAGGGCATTACACTATCTCTTCCAGGATAGTCATAGTTTAGAGAATGCGGATCATAACCTCTTCTTAAGCGTTATAGAGCTTGGATTTTAATCTCCACTTCCAAGAGTTGAGTCATTTAGAACCTATACGTCAATCATGCTTCATGCATGAGACATCAATATTCCCATGTCTGTGGATTGTCCTATCTGGGACGTGTATCCACGCGGCGACTGTCATGCTTCTGGCATGCAACAGTTATGCTTCGGGAATGCAATAGTTCAGTAGTGCCATATTATTCTTCTTTCGAATAACTGAACCTTTTGAGTCTAAAAATCTGCCACGCTTCAGGCGTGCAACAGATAAATCATTTACTGTCTCATTATTTTATCCAACAGAGACATCAATTCTTGTAGGCACATTTGCAGTAAGTATATATGATTTCATCACTTTCGTTGCATCATTCAATTATTCATATTTCATTTTCTTATTGATTGCTTCGTGAATCAAAATAAGACAAATTCTCTTCGTTCTTCTGGAACGGTCTTTTCTCATTATTCTTTTGGAATGATATTTTCTCATCGTTCTTCTGGAACGATATTATTTTCTCCCCCTAATGGCAGGAAAATTGTCTTATCAAAATGACAGTCCGCAAACCATGCGGTAAACATATCCCCAATCAAGAATTCCAAATATTGAATAATAGATGGTGTTCAACATCAATGCCTAAACTGCAATGATGCCTCATTTCAGTACGTTGTGGCAGTCTTACAGGCACATAGACAACACAACCAAAAACTCGTAAATGTATAATGTTTGGTTGGTTCCAAACCCGAGTTGTACTGAGAAGTATTGATGGTCGGTAACATGTCTCAACCGAATTAATAATGCATCATGTAAAATTTACATGTCCCCATGTAGAAAATTGGCAATTTCGTTTTCATGAGCAGAGTGCGGGAAATCAATTTCATTCGCTTAATAAAGGCTTCTGCTAAACCATTTTGAGTATGGACATAAGGAACTTCTGGTCCTTATTTAATAGTCTGTAAACTGAGACTCTTATGGCTTTTATTACAATTAAGTTAAAGCACTGCGGCACTTCAAACTTATGGTACTCATCTAGGAACTTCATGTCCTGATCTTCAGGATCAAGGGACTTCATGCTAGATCCTTTTGTATGATGGAACTTCGGGTCCAATCATTTTATATGATGAGGATCAAGAAACTGCAGGTTCTGATCTGATCAAGGAACTTCAGGTCCTGTATATACTCATAGTAACAAAAGATAAGTACAATAAATAAATTAAAGCAATAGACGGTAATTCCAGCCATAATGAATAAATTGCATTTAAGTAAATAAAATTTGTGACAAGGGCTTTAATTCAGCACCATCAAAACTTAAAGCAATAGGCGGTAAAACCGTCCATGGTAAAAATAAATTGCTTTAAAGTAAATAAAGCTTGTGACAAGGGCTTTGATTCAGCACCATTCACATAAATATCAAAGCTTTAAAGCAAAGGGTAATAATTCTACCCACTATAAATAAATTGCTTTAAATAAATAGAACTTGTGACATGGGCTTTAAACCAACACCATGCACATAAATATGCCAAAACAGAAAATGCAATGATTAAGTCCTCATGTTTTGCTTTTTTCATTTTTCTTGGTCTACCACTTCTTTTTGTTTCATCCCTTTTATTTTTATTATTATTTCACAGTTCGAAGTCATTTTGGTTACTCAGTAAATAATAGTAACAATAAGTTCCAATTGGGGTTCCTCCTCCGGTGAGTTTCGAAAAAGTCGAAACGGTTCCCATAAGTTTTGGAGTCAAGAGTGTCTGCAACTTATGAGAAGATCAAACCGTTAGATTTAGTTCAAAATTTAGTATGATATGGATAAGAGGATACCAAACAACTTTCGTGAAGAAACAATATCGATTTGAGCTACCGAAATGGAGTTTTGGTACTCATAAGGTGGCTGCCCAGTTTTCTGCGGAAATTGGAAACTGGTTTGGTATTTCAGACATCTGCCACGATCGCACCGTTAACATTTTCTGAAATTTTGATATGTTGTAGATACTGAGCAGACGAACAACTTTCAAGAAGAAAGTATTTCAATCCGAGGTCCGCAAGTTGGAGTTCCGAGGCTATTTACATGGCTGTCAAATTCTCTTGCAAATTTTTAGTCTTTTACTCTTTTGCTTCTGCAAAGGATGATATACAGTCATATAACAATATATATAGTTGCTTCAAGAAAATCAATTGTACTGAGATTTGAAGATGAAATGAAAATTGTTTCTTATCTGTGAGATTCCAGCTGAAGGAGGTGAACAGGATTTGTGGCGTTGTGCTTTCCACTGACATGAGAGCTTCTCGTGCTGATAACGTGTTGTAAAATCGACTGTGGGTGCAGTGGAATAAATGAAACAAGACACAAATTTTACGAGGTTCCTCTACAGTCAGTGTGACTGGAGTACGTCATCGGGGCAGCAGTGGTGCTTTCATTATAATTTAGAATAATAGGAGTACAAAGATAACTCTCTCTATTATCTCCTCTTATCTTCTTCTATTTTCTCTCTTCCTCTTCCTTCTCTCTCTTCCTCTTCCTTCCTTCCTCTCTTTCTTTCCCGTGAACCCTTCACATTCATCTATCTTTGTTGTGTTTCATAAGGCTTGTTTTTATACAAGTAAATCACATGCTAAATAGTGGAAGGGCAACTTGCCCATTATTTGAGTGGACATCCATTTCTACAACAGTATTGAAAATTTTTGGTTTTATTTGACTTTTTTCTGCTCGATGGCAATTTCGTAAATAACATGAAGTTGGGTTAACATATTTGGGTTAATCTCTGTTAAGGGCAAGGCCGAAAGAAAGATTTGATGTTGCATGTTGGGCTTTATTTCAGCCCATATAATTTAATTTTTATACGTTACTTTTGTTCTTTTTGTTAAATATTAAGTCATTTTTATTAAATAAAAGTGGTGAATTATTTTTAGTTAGGAAAAAGTTGATTCAAACATTTTTTTCATTAAAGCTCTTTAAATAATAAGACAACCTATAATTTATTTAAAGAAAAAATTAATGAAAAATATTTGAAAACTTTAAGTTTTAACAATAAAAAAAAATAAAAGGTAAAATGAACAATATCATAAACTTTTCGTTAAAGTTCTTATATTTTTAAACATAAGTAATTATAACGTAATTGTTTTTACATCGTTGTCCCTAAATTCAACCGAACTCCCAACAGAAGCAGAAGAAGAAACAAGACAGAGTACAAATGACAAATCAGAATTCTTCATCTTCTTCCCCGCTCATAATTCTAATTCTTCTACTAGTATTCTTGCTCTTCTCTCCCACCAATACAAATGCCAAGTCTCATCGCCCAATCTCTGTATTCCAAATTCCTCTTCTTCTTCTTCTTTTTCTGTCAATTTTCTTTTAATTTCTTATCTGTTTCATTGTTTGTGGGCCTTTTTATTTTTGAATATTAATTCTGAATTTATGGTGGGTTTTTTTTGGGTATATTTGACAGGATATGGAGACAAGGCAGAAGAAGAGCCAGTGTTATGCTGACATTGAGAGGTACATCCACCTCCTTCTCTCCTTTTTTTAATTTCCCATTTTCTTAAATTTACTATTTCTTTCTTGCAAATTAGAAAAATCTGTGACAAGGAAAAGAGTTTAATTTCTGTTTTGAGCAATGGATCTGTGATTAGATTGCGATGTGATTTAACCCCACCAAAATATTCGAATTATTATTATTAAAGAAATCGTTTTTCCCCACTCTAATTGTTTTAACTTAATGGAACAAGAATTCTTTGATTGTTTTAACTTAATGGAACAAGAATTTCTGCTTTTGGTAGTTGTATGAGTGATATGGCCTACCTGCAAACTGTATTGAATTAAAACTGCTTGAGAAAAATTCTTCCAATGCATATGCAACATGCTTTAAAAGATGTGATGATGGACTGGCACGCGGGTTTTTGCAAATGTGTAGTCTCTGACTGCCCCGTTTTGTTTTTGATGATCGGAGTAGCGGACTGTGGGGTTGGCATTGCAAGTCTTCTTTGATAGCAAAAGAGAATTGTGCTTTGCGATGCCTTTCTCCGACTTGCTATGAGCTTATCTACGAGAGTGATCCGGTAAGATGGATAGTATTCAGATTCTCTGTTATTGGATTCAACATGTTACATTTCTTATTTTACATGGGGTGTGTTTTCATTGTAGCTCGAAGAAGGTGAAAAAGATATGATTAGGGGCCAAGAGTTCAAGTATTGTATGCATAAGTAAGTTCCATGTCTTTATGGATATGAAATGTTATTGCTAATTCAGTTTGTGCAAAGTGAAGATTATATTTTTTTAGGATTTCATAAGACCACGGTTACAAACTATTTACATAGCTGGATTTCTGTTAGGGTTCATTTGTGGATACATTAAATAGAAATTTTTTAACAGTGGAAACACGTGTTAATGCAAAAAATTACTGAGCACGTCAAATCACCGAGTTTCTTATTCCTTCAAAAAGGCTTTTATCTATTTTGTTTTTTTTTTTCCTTCTGCCAACTGGTTCACTGTGAAGGTGAAAAGCCTAGTCTTTGTTGGATTAATGTTGGTTGGGTTTCGCATTTGCTGGTATAAGCAGGCTTGTTGGCCAATGTTGATACCTCTAGTAAACCAACTGTGTCCAGGCTTTCTTAGCTTGGGAACCTTCTCCGTTAAGACTTTTCGTGGCTTGGTTCCAATGGGGTGATTGGTGTAGTGGAGGATTAATTCGGGATTGGCATGTTAAATGATTATTGGTTATATTGCTAAGAAAAGGGTTGGGGAGGTTCTCCATGCTGAGCTTTGGGCAATGTATTATGGTTTGAAGATGGCTAAAACAAGAAACTTTTCTCATCTGATTCTGGGATGGATTCTTCTTTGGTCGTCAATCTTCAGTCGTGGTTTTGCTAGCATTAATCATCTTCTTTACGGTGTTTGTCTCGGAGTGTAGAAATTTGATTCAAGGGAACTGGAATTACAAGCTGCAACATGTTCATAGAGAACGTAATTTTGCAGCCTACGGGTTAGCCAAGTTGGGTCTGGGAGAGGTCGCACTTGGTGTGATGGCAAGTGCCTTCGCCCATGAGCGGTAGGTCTCGGGTTCGAGACTTGGGAGCAGCCTCTCCATAAATGGGGGTAAGGCTAGCCGACATTCACCTCTCCCAGACCCTGCGTAAAGCGGGAGCCTTGTGCACTGGGTACGACGGGTTAGCCAAGTTGGGTCTAACAAGTGAGATAGATTTTCAAGAGCTTGCGGAGCCTTTCCTGATTTAGTACAAGCTACTGTTGATAATTGTTCTGGTGTTGCCAGAGCTAGACAGTTCTTTAGTTTGCTTTTCTCTTTTTCTCCCTTGTAACCGAAAAATTATGAGCACACTTTTTTTCCTCTTAGATAAACAATATACAGGAATAAATTTTTAGGCTACTTATATCAGTGTAATTTATTATATAGTATCCAAAAACTATATGCCTGTTTGTGTGCTTGGCTATAAAAAGGATGAGCTGCATGTCGTCGTAAGCAAACAGGCTTAGCATAGGAATGTTTTCTGCAGATGTTTCAAGCCTTATTGGCAGATTGCTTGCCTCTGCCCTATTCCTTAAGTTTCTGCCTGATTAGCCAGGTTAATCGCGGCATTTGATCATTTTGGTGCTTTCATAAAAGTTTCTAGCTTCTCCTCCAACCATTTCTTTCTTTCGTCATGTTAATCTTGCAATTTCCCACCGACTTAAGAGACAGTTTACGTACATACATAACCGCATCATGGTAATTGAGGAATTAGTTTGGGTTGTTTTGTAACTCTCGATTCATGTTGCCTTGCAGGTTATCTTTGGGGGAGAGCCTTGAGGGTATCAAGGGTACATTTAATTATTAAATATTCAGGTGGCAATGTTGCTTGTAGAATAAGTTCATAAGAAGCCATGGATTTCTTCTCCACTGGAAAAAGAAGAAAACAGGTAACACAGAAGTCGTACTTCATTTCCCAGTCATCTCTTGGTTGTCTCCCCTTGCATGTGGTGCAATGTTCTATGCACACCAGGTTCAGGCTGTCCAGAGTGCCTGACATTACGGCTTATGTTCTGTCTTCAGCCGACGTGGAAATTATCCGTGTGATTACGAGAATGTTTCTGACTTGTTCAATAGTTACTGTAATGTGCTTGAACGAAGCTGAGGTTAGCCTAATCATAATCGGGACACCAATATTTTTGAATTTCAGTATGAGAAAGCATACATCTGCATATCATCTTGTTACAGATGAAAACTTGTCAAATTACGACGGAGAGAGCTTTATAATATTAACACACACAAAGTAGCAGTTGACTGCATTGTAGCATTTCAGAGGTAAGAGTTATGGATTATAGGTCTCAGACTCACAGCTACACATGATATAAACATAACAAAAGCAAAAACTTGTCAAATTATGTAATCAGACCACTCAGATATAAAGGAGGTATGGTCCATAGACTCCCCTGGCACATCCTCATGTTTAGAGGGCCGCTCCTTCCCTCCGACCAACCTTGCCGGATTCCCCACCGCGGTTGTCCATGGTGGCACATCGATAAGCACCACTGACCCCGCCCCAATCTTTGCACCCTCACCGATCTTCACGTTTCCCAGAATTGTTGCACCTGCACCAATCAGTACACCATCACCAATCTTTGGGTGCCTGTCTCCACCCACCTTTCCCGTCCCACCTAGTGTCACGTGGTGCAATATTGACACATTGTTTCCTATAACTGCCGTCTCCCCAACCACAACGCCCGTCGCGTGGTCGAACAGAACACCTTTACCGATCCTTGCAGCTGGGTGAATGTCCACGGAAAACACATCCGCGATTCGTGACTGGAGTGCCAGTGCTAGTGGTTTACGTGACTGACTCCACAACTTATGCGCCACTCGCTGAGCCTAACAAATGAACACAAACTATTATCTTTTCTTAAAATATCCGAAAAACGAGCACAACCATAGCAATTTTCATGATTATTATATAAAATTAATCCAAAAGGCAATTATAAAATTAAACTAATTCATATTTTGAAAACTAGTAGTTGCTATGAATGCAACATTTGAATTTGACTATTTACCTGACAGGCCAGGAAGCCCTTGTAATTGAGTAAACAGTGAGAGAACGAGACGCAAGCAGGATCACGTTCACGTGCAGCGAATAGATCAGCGACCGTGGCAGCGCGTAGAGAGGAATCAGAGGAAAAGGCATCGAGGAATAGATCATAGAGGAGCGTCGAGAGGAGAGTGGACGAGCACAGCTTATTCCCCAAGTGAAACGACAGTGAGCGCTCCAATGATGAATGCGAGAGTATTGTCGAGTACAAATAGCTTGCGAGTGCTGGCTCAGACTCAGCGTCACGTTTTACCTCAGTTTTTATCTGGGCCCACACCTGCACCTCGCCCTCGGCTTCTGATGACTCGTGCAAAGGCTCGCCTGCTGGCATCTTGACCACAGATGGTGGGGTGGAACTGCGTAAAACTTATGCTAGAATATGACACCACTTCTGTCATTACATTACCACACAAAATTAAGTTAGTCTACTTTACCATCATAAATAAAACACAGATCACTACATTGTTACTTTTCCTATGATCACGACATTAAACAAAAAACTTAACTTCATGAAGTTAATCTTGTCATTCGAAACATATACAGACTACTATCAATTCATGTTTGCAACGGGCAGCGTAAAATAAAACCCAAAACTGCAACCGGAATATTATTTGTAGAGTTATAACTAGTCCACTTTCAGAGTTCAAAGACTTTAAGAATCACATTCTGCAGACAAATTAAACAAGTTACTTGATTAGAATTGTTTTTTATCAACTTAGTTTGAGAATTTCTGTTTCCTTGACAGAAGTTTGTTTAGGCAGGATTACGCATTTGAACAACATACATCCTCTGCCCGAAAGTTACTGTTGAAACACTCTATTTCTGTCCATCCCAATCCCGAATCCCTACTTACTTTGGCCTATATACAGGCACACATCCCGATAATACAGTCAAAACTTAAATCCATCTAACCATCTAACAACGAAAGAAGTCAGGCAACTGGGAAGATTATTAATGCCTTCCTAAATCACTATTTGCTTGAAAACTTAGTAATTAAGGTAAAAATCAGGCTAGCAGAAAACACCTAAAACAATTGCAAAGCTTCCCTCCACTTATTCTGGTTAAAGAATTGATTTCCCATTTCAAGATGAATGAAGAATATGGTGGACTCTGATATTCTTTTTGTTGATTACATGCAATCTGTGGAATCCGCAAGGAATTGGAAAATAGAAAGAAAAAAAGAGATCCAAAACAGAGATCCTCTGGCCCTAAACAAGATCAAACGAAAAGACATAAAAATAATGAGGAGGATCAATTCTTGCCCACACCGAGTTGTCCAAATTGGCTATGTCAGAAATTTCCTATTAGAGCATGGAAATAAACCCACTTCATCCACAAGAAATGACAAGATGTGAAGGTGAGATGGAAAACCCTTAAAGGGACAGAAACAAAGACCTGTCAAGACGGAGAATGCAGATAAATAGCAAGAAAAAATGCAGAGGATTTACAATGAGGTTCCCTGCTCCAACTAGGACAGCTTGTTTGACGATGTCTAAATAGGGAAACTCTAAAAGCAAAAATGGAAGTAGAATGATAGCATAATTGGGTCATTACGTGACTTAGGGCACTCAAAGTCTGCTAAGACAGAAAAAAGATTCATATGAAATGATGCCAAAAGATTTCATTGTTAACTGAATTTTATGATCCGAGGCAGCAATATAAGTATGTGGAACAAGAAGACATTCCTTGTTTAAAGTATTCAAACGGAACTTCAAACTAAAGTTGGCCAGCTTCAGAATGTTATCTTTATGTTGCAATTGCAGTAGCAGGATATGTTAGAGCAGAGAAAAACTTATGCTATCATAATCTCTCCGTCTCTCTCAGCTTCTCGAAATGTCAATTAAACAGACAAATAGGGTACCTCATAACTAACATTCCTTGTTTAAAGTATTCAAACGGAACTTCAAACTAAAGTTGGCCAGCTTCAGAATGTTATCTTTACGTCGCAACTGCAGCAGCAGGATATGTTATAGAGCAGAGAAAAACTTATGCTTTTGTAATCTCTCTGTCTCTCTCAGCTTCTCGAAATGTCAGTTAAACAGACAACTAGGGTATCTCATTACTAAGAGCACCTAAAGTTTCCAATTTAACAGCGCCAGATATAACAGAAAGTTAGAGAAAATCAATTTTTTTATCTTCAACCAGATTCTTTAATACCCTTGTAATCTCTTGAGTCAGTAGAATATGATCGAGAAACCAATTTGCTAAACAGAACTTGTAATACAAAATCGGCCTTTAAATCATCGTTAACCCCTATAAACACCAGCCAACAAAACATCTCTTTCAAAAACTACATAAAATTTACAAATAAATAAAACCCAGTTCTCAAAATTCAAAAGCTTTATGCAAGCTAGAAAAATCAAATTCGGGTTGTAGTTGGTCCAAAAGGAAAAACAAGTAGAAATAAAAGCTCAAAGAATGTCGAAAAAAAGTAAAGATAAATCAGCTAACTCAATTACAATTGAAAATCAAACTGAATTCTGTGTTCACCGTGTTCGTGAATTGAGATTACCTCACTGCCGCCGATAATCAGATTGCCGGGGACGACCGCCGGTTGCCGGTGGAGGTTGGAGGCTGATGGGATTGACGATTGATAAAATGTAATCACCGCATGTAAGGGCCGAAGTTTCTTCTTAGTTGACGGCAAACTAACGTTACCGTCTATGTTGATAAACAAAGAGAAGCAAAATATTAATTTTATAACCCTAAAAAAATAATATAATAATTATATATATTAATTTAACAATTTTATACCCTTAAAAACTATAATAATTATATAATATATATATATATATATATATTAAATTAAATATTAAAAATTGGTGATCATTGGATCAGCTTAAATATACATACCATTCAATTTCTTAAGTGTTATACGTACAAAATAAATAAATTTAAACATACTTAATAAATATATATATATATATATATATATCATTGAACTTGATGGAATACGAATTCTACGAAACTAATTTCAACCATCTAACCGTCAAACTTGTTTGTATATGTTTCGAGATCGCATAAGCAAAAAATCGCAAAAAATAAACATTCAGAGATCAAGTAACGGGACAAAACTTTTTTACGATTCTAAACGAAAAATCACGATTTAAAGGTTATTTTAACTCCGATTTTGATGATTTTTTACAGCTACATTCCTTGACCCTACATGAATACAATGAATGAATTCGATCTTCAATTTAAAATATTTACACTAGTGGATACCACAAAATCTTATGTTATACTTAATGAAAATATGAATAAACTCTTCAGTGTTAGTGAATCTATCGTTTTGAGGGGATACGCAAACTAATTTCAATGATCCAATCGTCAAACTTCGTTGTATATGCTTCAAGATCGCATATGCTAAAAATCGCAAAAAACAAACATTCAAACATCAAGTAACGGGACAAAACTTTTCGACGATTATCAACGAAAAATCACGATTTAACGGTTATTTTAACTTCGATTTTGATGATTTTTTATTCCTACATTCCTTGACCTTATACGAATACAATGAATGAACTCGATCTTTACTTTAAAATATTTATATTAGTGGATACCACAAAATCTTATGTTATACTTAATAAAAGTATGAATAAACTTTTAAGTGTTAGTGGATCTATTGTTTTGATGAGATACGCATTCTACGAAACTAGTTTCAACGGTCTAACCTTCAAACATGTTTGTATATACTTCGAGATCTCATACGCCAAAAATTGCGAAAAACAAACATTCAGAGATCAAGTAACGAGACAAAACTTTTCGACTGTTATCAACAAAAAATCATGATTTAACGGTTATTTTAACTCTGATTTTGATGATTTTTTTACAGCTACACTCCTTGACCCTATATGAATACAATGAATGAACTCGATCTTCAATTTAAAATATTTACACAAGTGGATACCACAAAATCTTATGTTATACTTAATGAAAGTATGAATAAACTCGTAAGTATTAGTGAATCTATCATTTTGATGGGATACGCATTCTACGAAACTAATTTCAACGATCCAACCGTTAAACTTCGTTGTATATGTTTCGAGATCGCATATGCTAAAAATCGCAAAAAACAAACATTCAAAGATCAAGTAACGAGACAAAACTTTTCGACGATTATCAGCGAAAAATCACGATTTAACGGTTATTTTAACTTCGATTTTGATGATTTTTTATTCCTACATTCCTTGACCTTATACGAATACAACGAATGAACTCGATTTTCAATTTAAAATATTTACACTAGTGGATACCATAAAATCTTATGTTATACTTAATGAAAGTATGAATAAACTCTTAAGTGTTAGTGAATCTATTGTTTTGATGAGATACGCATTCTACGAAACTAGTTTCAACGGTCCAACTGTCAAACATGTTTGTATATACTTCGAGATTGCATACGCCAAAAATTGCAAAAAAACAAACATTCAGAGATCAAGTAACGGGACAAAACTTTTCGACTATTATCAACAAAAAATCATGATTTAACGGTTATTTTAACTTCGATTTTGATGATTTTTTTTACAGCTACACTCTTTGACCCTATATGAATACAATGAATGAACTCGATCTTCAATTTAAAATATTTACACAAGTGGATACCACAAAATCTTATGTTATACTTAATGAAAGTATGAATAAACTCGTAAGTGTTAGTGAATCTATCATTTTTATGGGATACGCATTCTATGAAACTAATTTCAACGATCCAACCGTCAAACTTCATTGTATATGCTTCGAGATCGAATATGCTAAAAATCGCAAAAAAAAAACATTCAAAGATCAAGTAACGAGACAAAACTTTTCAACGATTATTAACGAAAAATCACAATTTAACGGTTATTTTAACTTCGATTTTGATGATTTTTTATTCCTACATTCCTTGACCTTATACGAATACAATGAATGAACTCGATCTTCAATTTAAAATATTTACACTAGTGGATACCACAAAATCTTATGTTATACTTAATGAAAGTATGAATAAACTCTTAAGTATTAGTGAATCTATTATTTTGATGAGATACACATTCTACGAAACTAGTTTCAACGGTCCAACCGTCAAACATGTTTGTATATACTTCGAGATCGCATACGCCACAAATTGCGAAGAACAAATATTCAGAAATCCAGTAACGGGACAAAACTTTTCGACTATTATCAACAAAAAATCATGATTTAACGGTTATTTTAACTCTGATTTTGATGATTTTTTTACAGCTATACTCTTTGACCCTATATGAATACAATGAATGAACTCGATCTTCAATTTAAAATATTTACACAAGTGGATACCACAAAATCTTATGTTATACTTAATGAAAGTATGAATAAACTCGTAAGTGTTAGTGAATCTATCATTTTTATGGGATATGCATTCTACGAAACTAATTTCAACGATCCAACCATCAAACTTCGTTGTATATGCTTCGAGATCGCATATGCTAAAAATCGCTAAAAACAAACATTCAAAGATCAAGTAACGGGACAAAACTTTTCAACGATTATCAACGAAAAATCACGATTTAACGATTATTTTAACTTCGATTTTGATGATTTTTTATGGCTACACTCCTTGACCCTATATGAATACAATGAATGAACTCGATCTTCAATTTAAAATATTTACACTAGTGGATACCACAAAATCTTATGTTATACTTAATGAAAGTATGAATAAACTCTTATGCGTTAGTGAATCTATTGTTTTGATGAGATACGCATTCTACAAAACTAGTGTCAATGATCCAACCGTCAAACATGTTTGTATATACTTCGAGATCGCATACGCCAAAATTGCAAAAAACAAACATTCAGAGATCAAGTAACTGAACAAAACTTTTCGGCGGTTATCAACGAAAAATCACGATTTAACAATTATTTTAACTCTGATTTTGATGATTTTTTACAGCTATATTCCTTGACCCTATATGAATACAATGAATGAATTCGATCTTCAATTTAAAATATTTACACTAGTGGATACTACAAAATCTTATGTTGTACTTAATGAAAGTATAAATAAACTCAAAGTGTTAGTGAATTTATCATTTTGATGGGATACGCATTCTACGAAACTAATTTCAACGATCCAACTGTCAAAGTTGTTTGTATATGCTTCAAGATCGCATACTCCAAAAATTGCAAAGAACGAACATTTAGAGATCAAGTAATGGGACAAAACTTTTCAACAGTTATGAACGAAAAATCACGATTTAACGGTTATGTTAACTTTGATTTTGATGAGTTTTTACAGCTACACTCCTTGGCCCTATATGAATACAATGAATGAATTCGATCTTCAATTTAAAATATTTACACTAGTGGATACCACAAAATCTTATGTCATGATGATCAATGAAAATTGAGGATTTTGCAAAAGGAATAACATACAAGGTTTGAGTTCCATTAGCAAGGTTTAAACTTTTGAGAAAGGCTTCACAACCTTGAAAACAAAAACTCTTTCATTTTGCATATCTTTGCACATTTAATATTTTGTAATAGGCTAATAGTGTATGAATGTTTGTTTATTAGGCTCTTATTTTCGAGTGTAGATGTAGTACTTAAATGACAAATGTGTTTTAATGTTTTGAAGTAATATTTAGGTGGCAATGTGTGGTATGTGAAAATTTAAGAAAAAAAATATATTTTTCTTAACGGGTCATAACGGGTCGGGTCACTTTACCCTTTGGGTAAAGTGACTCGACCTGTTAAGGACCCGTTACGATAATGAGTGTGACACGACACGATCCGTTAAGATAACAAGTGTTACACGAAAACAACATGAACACGACATACACGACCCGTTTGCCAGACCTAAGTGTAAGGTTATAAGCTTAACAATAGATTTCTCATGCCTATTAATTTACCATAAATCCGAACCGATCGAACGCTAGCTAAAAGAAGATAAGTAGCTCTTCTATCGAGAAAAAGGGCCAGGGGAGAACATGTAGCGACTTGCTTAAATTTAAATGAAAACTAATAAAAATGGCTTGAAAACTTTGAATTTTAATCAAAATGACAAAAATGTGTTGTAAGTGAATAGTACCAGGAGTGACTTTTTAGAGAAAATGCCATTTAACGTTAGTGAATAGTACCAAGAGTGTTTCGCTAAAACTCCCTAAATTTAAAGACTACACCAACTTAAATATTAAATACTAAAACAACTAATTATAATAATGATCTTTATATGCCATTGTAGGAGTATAGCTGGATATTGTAAACAACTTCCGTTGGGCCATAATTTCCCTCTTTTTCCTATCAAAATATGCATTACTCATTAGATTATAATTCATAGTGTCCCTTTCCAATGTTCCTACACTCATCTATTCTTGCATTTGTTTTGCCAATTCTTCGTGTCTACGCTTCCTTTCTTCCACATCAATGACATTTTGCTCCGTCATTAAGCGCAATGAGGAGGCCATTTCCTCTCGAAAGGCTAGCTCCTCATTTTCCTTTTCCTTTTCCTTCAACTTTTTAGCCTTGTTTCTTCCCATAGCCCTAGGTCTGGAAGATTGAGACTCGGAGATGAATTTTATAGCCTTGTTTATTCAATGATAGGAGATACTTCTTCATCCTCAACTGTATACTTCTTCATCCTCAACTGTATTTGAGGAAACATTTCCAAACATCGGCGTAGGACC